ATTGGTATTATTTGTGGCAGCATACCTAATGGCGGCTCGGGTCGTGACAGTCGCCTGTACTCTCTTAACTTGGCTATGACACCGGACCCATATGGTGCTGTAGATGCACCACAAGTCTACCCTCATTATAAGGTAATCCACGCAGAAGTCGCCATCACTGTATGCACTTGTTGTCGGGCACTCGGTGGACCTCGTCGGCTACGATGATTGGACTGTCGTGTACAACTATACCGACTGGAAGATCAGCACTGCTGCACTCTGAAAGAGGTGATCATCGTCAGGTGCACGAAATGCGGAGTAACCAATTTAACCGGTCTGCTAGATCCGACGCGAATAGCCGTTTTGCTTCTTTTTGGGTCGTGAAGTTTATTTGAAACCTTAGTATTTTACGCGAACAGGACTAGTCAGTGGCCGAGCTCATAAAATATCAAACGAAGTTCTGAACTACTTTTCCGATTAGGAAAGATAACGTAAGTGGGGTTGTTATACTGCGTAGCATGTAGCAAAATCCCACCAGGACACCAGCCTGTAAATGCAGGCTATTTCAGCCATCTGCAACAACCAAGTTCAGTAAAAATGATTACTTAAATAGCATGCATCTTTTTTGATTTTCGATGTCCTAAATAGATAGGTAAAAGATCCTTTATTGTATTCATATAGAAGCCACTCGTATGTTATCAACTTTTATCCCCAAGTAAGGGCAAGACTTCGATTTTAAAAAGTGTTCCAATGTCCAAATAATCTCGAGTTAAGTTTTTTTAGTTCCGTTTTATTGAGGAAAAGGTAGGCAAACGGACTTGCCCTTGGGGTTATTTAATCTCCAAATGGTATTCTTTTCGTTTAAGGAATAGCTCACCTTCCTATGTAATTAATAAGATATCATGTAATTCCCATAGGATTTTTTTAACGGCTGTGGGCTTTGGTGTATAATTAACGAGGAGCATTGATAAAGAAAGCAGGTATGATGCGATTCGAATGCGTATTGCACAGTCTTAAAAGACTTATTTATAACTATCTTTTTTAAATCACAATATAGCCTTTTCCGAATATAAAATACAAGGACAGCGTGACCTCCTTACCAGTGAGTACAAGAAAGAATGGGTTTGTTTGCGTTTTCTATAAAATAAAGATTGAAATATTATTGGGCGTAAAAACCAATGAAAAATACATACTACCTAGACAGTCATTATATCGAGTGCGGGTTTCACAGGCGGCCGAAAGCCATTGTCCGGGTCGGTCAGTGGAGGGGTGTGGAGAATGAGTAACAGGCATGTAGTGACTATGGCTGACTTGTGACAACGAAATAGTCGACGTAGCAGATTCATCCTATAAATCCTGCAACATCTGTGTAATTCACTATCCTCATCTGAACATATCTCTGATGATGGATTTGAGTCAGAATCTAAAATCTCAAGTGAATAAAACTCTTGCTCCAACGACCATGTCTCTTTCTTCGCATCCGCTTCCTTAACGCCGTTTTCTGATTACGCCGAGTCAGGGTTAAACTCTGGCTACTGTCCAACATGCCTCTGACACGTTTCGAACGACGACAGTCACTGCGACCGCCAATTTACGCAATAGCATCACCATTCGGTTAACAGTTTGCGAAACAGCAGAGAGAGAATATAGAAAGTGGAGTCATTGCTGAAGAAGCTATCCACGTGGAAAATCTGTTTGTTATCCTCAATAACCTAATTCAAATTAACTTAAACTTATAAGTACCAACTAAAAGTCGAGGTTTTCAGATGGCAAGATACCCCGCTCCTCCTCTGGAACCGTAGGCAAATGTTCTCGGCTGTTTCTTTGAATGGCCTTTATAGCCCACCTCAGTCCTGTCACACCGAACCCCGTGTATGGCGTGTACATCAAATGGTGTCTTCAGGTCACGTTAGTCCCCACACCCAGTGTCCTTTTCAAACCGACAGGGGAGGGCCAGCTCTCGCCTTCCGCACTTAACCAAACACGCCTTGAGACTTTCATGATGTGCTAGGCGTCGCGCTACTTGGAAGGTTATCCACTGACAGGAATACCTGCTCCTGCCGAGGATTACGGTTCTGG